GACACAACGGAACAGAACTGAGAGTCCAGAAATAACCCCCACCCCCATATATAACAGCAAATAAATTTTGACAAAAGAGCCAAAAAACAAACAATAGAGAAAGGAAAGCCTCTTTAATAAATAGTGCTGGAAAAATTGGAAAGTCACATGCAAAAGAATGGAACTAGACTGCTCTCTGTTGCCACACTTCAAAATGAACTGAAAATGGATCAAAGACCTGAATATAAGACCTGAAACAATAAATTGCATAAAAGAAAATATAGGTACTAAACTCATGAAGCTTGGATTTAGAGAAGATTTTATGAGTTTACCTCAAAGGCAAAGGAAGTAAAAGCAAAAATAAGTGAATGAGATTATATCAAACTAAAAAGCTTCTGCACAGCAAAAGAAACCATCAACAAGACAAAGAGACAACCAACCGAGTAGGAGAAGATATTTGTAAACAACACCTCCAATAAAGGGCTAATATCAAAAATATACAAAGAACTTATATAACTCAACAATAAAAAAAAAAAAACACCTACTTATAAAATAAGCAGAGGATGTGAACAGACACCTCCCAAGAAGACATACAAATGGCCAACAGACATATGAAGAGTTGCGCAACTTCACAAGCTGTTAGGGAAATGCAAATCAAGACCGCAATGTGATACTGCCTCACACCTGTTAGAATGGCTATCATCAACAGGACAAGAAGTAACGAGTACTGGAGAGGATGCAGAGAAAAAGGAACCCTCATACACTGCTGATGGGACTGCAAATTTGTGCAGCCACTATGGAAAACAATATGGAGGTTCCTCAAAAAACTAAGAATTGTTTGTGCAGCCACTATGGAAAACAATATGGAGGTTCCTCAAAAAACTAAGAATTGATCTACCATATAATCCAGCAATCCCTCTACTGGGTATTTACTCCAAAGACTTGAAAATTTATATCTAAAAAGATATTTTCACACCGATGTTAATGGCAGCATTATTTACAGTGTCCAGGACGTGATGTCCTACCATAGATGATTGGCTAAAGAAGCTGTGGTAAATATGGACAACGGAATATTACTCAGCCATAAGAAGAGACGAAATACTGCCATTTGCATCAACATGGATGGACCTCGAGATAATCATGCTAAGAGAATAAACCAGAATGAAAAAGTTGAAAATCACATGATATCCCTTATATGTGGGATATAAACCTAAAAGCAACAAACAAACAGGACAATCAGAGACTCATGGACATGGACAATAGACTAGTGGTTACCAGAGGGTTGGGGAGAGGGGAAACAGATGGGGTAAAGGAGGTCAAATATGTGGTGACAAAAAGTAATCTAACTATGGGAGGTGAACACACAATGTAAATATATATATATGCCTTACTTTTAAAATGTACGGCTTAAACTTAACGGATTTCATTAACCAATGTTACCATAAAAAAATCAATTAATTTTTTAAAAAAGCAGACTCTTCACTTGGGTACACAAGATGCTTCTCATTGTAGGTGTGCTTTACCTTGCTAGTCTCATCTGCTAATTTCTCTCTATCCCCTAAAATGCCTTGTGCAAATCCACTTACTTTCCTAAAAAGTAAATTTCTTTCTTGCTTTTTCACAAAGCAGTGCCTTTGACCATGTTGCCACCTCTACTTGGCTCCTTTTTCTTATCACCACCCTCTTTGTCTGGCAAGATCCTGTAAATTTAATGGAGTTTCTCTCAGTCTAGCAGGAGCAACCTTGCATAAACATTTGAACTAGTTCAAACATTTGAACTAGATCCAAGTTTGCCTGATTCATCTTTAGTGTTCTGGATTAACTCTTTACTTTACCTCAATGGCTTGGCTCCTTGAGCCCTCTAAATGGGATTAACCTGTCAGGGCTGTCCGTAGAATCAAGTTCTAAACCTTAAGTAAATCACTCAATCTCCTTTAGCTGTTCTCCATATCCCACCTGACTTGATTTAAAGCCCTCCCTCTCCCTTTCTGATGTATATATTAGCTCCTCCTAGGCTCAATGTTCATTCTGATTCTCTCTCTGGTATATGAACTCTCACTTTGCTGCATTCATTCAAAAACCATTTACCAAGCACTTCTTATATGCCAAGCACTGTTCTACGTGCTGAAGAAACAAAAAGTGAACAAAATACACAGCGTCTCTGCCCTCATGGAACACATTCTAGTGAGGAAGCAAATACACAAATAAAAGGTTAATATAATATGAGACGGTGATAGCACTGTGAATAAAAACAAAGCAGGGCTGGAAGGAGGGTGTCACCTCCCAGGTCAGTTTCTTCTCTAATAGCCCCTGCCTCTTTGCCAGGCCCACACTCTTTTCTG